AATCATTGCTTCCATAATACTGTAGAATGCAGTCCTTCGAAATTGATTTTGACATTGAACACAAGCGCAAATTACTGATATAAATGAAGCAACTGCAATGATTTTCTGTAGATTATTTCGATATATTGATTTTCCTAATTTTGATCCCAGTACATTATATATTATTTATATTACTAAGTAATGTATAGTAGTAATATATAGTAATATATATGTTACTTATTGATATAAGTAATATATAATGGTATTCAATGATGTTTCATAGAGAAACATACTTACTGCTCACTAATAAATAAATAAGCGGCAAATTATGCAATTATATAACGAAGTAAAGCTCACAAAAGCGGGGCAGAACGATGATTTCAGTGGCGTAGCTGTAAAGAACGAACGAAAATAGTCGTCTCTGTCGTGTTTTTGCAACATAAGTAGCACTGACCCCAGGTGGTTTGTATCTGCATATTTGAATAGATCCCTGTAGAAATAATTAAGTGTCGTAAAGATTCAAACATCGTTCAGATAATTTTTGAATCGAACTTGGTGATGCTAAGAAGTGCAAATTTAACAATGTTGCATGAAGTTTCTAATGTTATGGTGAAGATGAAGACGTCTTTATGATTTTTGTTTTTTACAAAAGTTTGCGAAATTTAACCATCACAGCAACGGTGAATAAGGCAGTGAATAACGTAAGATGCGTCAGGTGATATGGTAAAGCAATTGAGAATTGTTCATTAATAAAGTATATACAACTGCTCCATAAAAATATCGATATATGAAGGATGACGTAATGAAGTTTCTGACTCCTGTAAGTATATCTCTCAACAGTGGATAAAATTAAACCTTTCTTCATAAATTCAAAATTCATGAACTTCACAATCACAGCATTTCACGGACATGGTTATGAACTCACTTGTTCACAAAATTCTTCGCATAAAAAATTGGATTCGCATAAGGTAAGTAGCAAGCAATAGTTGCATATAGCGCTAAAGCATGAAACCAAATATCACCCGAACTCAGGCATATACTTGCCCAATATCGAATTTGATACCTATAAGTGACACTTTTCACTAAACGTTTTGAACTCGTGGAGGAATATCGCCTATCGCCAAAATGCTTCTCTGGTTTATTGGATTTTGTAAAATTATAGAACGATAGTTGGAAATTTTATATAATTCTACTGCATGTTGCCAGGCAGAAAGCATTCAGAGTCATTCCTTCTTCAAATAAATGATGACCAAGGTTCCGTTATAATCAATAAGTCTTTTCAAGACGAACCAAAACTAACAAGTTTTTTGTGTTTTCGTCAACATTAGTGAAGAGATTTACGGTATTTGTTATATCTATCATAAGATCAGATATGGTTATCATAGAGCAGATTGCCATTAAATTAAGCGTGAAATATTTGAATAAGCCATCCTTCACTTTCGCAATTGATAAATAAACCAAAAGTGGTATAATTATGAAATCAGCAACTGTCGTAAAGTATGAAATGAGCTGGATCGTACTGTATAAGGCTGCTAAAAATTTTCAAGCAAAAAATTCTTTGAATATGAAATTGGCGGCAATTTCATTTGGTTTTGTGATATTGTACAGCTATGCTATTGCACTAATTTCCAAGATTTTTTTTTTTTTTTGTTACGACAA